CACGTTTACGCCGTTGCCTCGGCCTCCATACCCTCCGCAGCAGGAGCCTCGCTCTCCTCTGCTGGCCGGTCCAACTTGGTGCCCGTCTCCTCGCCGCTGTAGTCACCGTGTACCTGGAGGAGCAAGCAGAGGCGAGCACAAGGCGAAAGCTGAGATTTGAGCACAGGCCAACATGGCAAGTCTCAGTAAAGGAGACACTCCAACTTCGTGCCCATCTCATTGCCAACATAGTCAAGCCACAAGCAGCACAAGCAGCGTGAAGCACCAAGTCCATGCCAATTCCCAACTTCCTCTCCTCCCCTGCCAGTCTCCAAGGCCGCAGCCTCACTCCTCCTTATACCTCTATGACCTTGCCTGATCACCTCTTACCCGCTCCCCCCTGTCTCGGGACGGGACCACCCTTCCCTCCCTCTCGCATCTCCAAGAGCTGGCATGTCAACCCCCTCAAGTTTTCTCCCCTCCCCCATATCATCCCCTCTTGCCCCTCTGCACATTCTCCCTCGCCCCTTCCACCCCGCAACCCCCCCGCCTCCCTCACCTCCATGATCTTGCCTGTGGCCCCTCCTCATTCCCTCATTTCCTCTCTAACTCCCTCGCTCCCTCCCTCACTCCCTCACTCCCCCCCTCGCACCTCCATGAGTTTGCCGAGGTCGAACTTGGGCGCCTTGAGGATCTTGACCTTGCGGATGAGCGTGTTCTGCAGGGGGTAGATGCCGAAGCACGCCTTCTCCATCTCCTTGCCGATGCTCTCCGGGATGAACTTCGCCACCAGCTCCTTCAGGTCGCACGACGACGCCTCCTTGATCATGATCTCGCGCATCTTCCTCCGGATCTGGTTGTAGCGGGTACAAGGGAAGGGCGCCGGGGGCGGGGGGGGGGGGGAAGGGGGGGAGGATGAACTTCGCCACCAGCTCCTTGAGGTCGCAGCTGGAAGACTCCTTCACCATGATCTCGCGCATCTTCCAACGGATCTGGCTATAACGGGGATGGGGGGTGGTTCAGGCAGTGAGGGAGCAGATGGGCAGAGCGAGAGGGGGAAGGGGGGTGTGCTCCTCATGAGCGGCGTCAACAACAGCCGGCACGACATGAGACGACTTAGAGGCACCTCAGAAAGGATGTGAGCAGCGACAACGGCCAGCAGCCATGGCAGGGCTGCGGGCCGTTGTGTGCCGCTAGTCCGCGAGGGACCGCGTCGCTGTGAGCGCCACGCGGCAGAACAAAGGCCATGGGATGCGGCCGAGCTCTGTTTGACTAGTGGCGCCGAATGAATTTAGCGACGACTGGGAGGGGCTTGCTCACGCTGCAACTCTTGATCCGCCCAATAGATGCTCGTCCCTTTTCACTCATCTAACGAGCTCCGTCCCCCTGTCCGGCTTGAGCTTAATACTAACGCTGCACCGAGCCCGGCACCTCGCTGCACTTCGCCAAGCATCTCGCCCGCACAGCTATTACGCTCCCTCCCTCCACACAGGGCGTCTGGCAAACCGCTGCCGACACTGACCTGTCGGATTTGGCTGCTCTGCGCGTAGCTGGTCTTCTTGATCTGGTTCTGGCGGCGCTTGGTGAAGGCGATGGCGAAGAGGCGCAGGGTGTAGCTGTCAGTCGTCTTCACGTCCACGTGGCACTCGATCAGCGTCTGCCACTTGCGCACCAGCGACCGCAGCTTGTCGGTCGTCAGGTCCATGCCCTGTAACGAGGATGGGGGGAGGAGGGAGAAGGAGAACGGGGAAAGGGTTAAGGGAATAAATGGTAGTCAATTGATCAGCGGCTGCCATTTGCGCACCAGCGACCGCAGCTTGTCGGTTGTCGGGTCCATGTCCTGTAACGGGGATAGCAAATGGTGCCCATTCTTCCCGCTTGCCCCTCCTCCGGCTTATTCGCTAGCGCCTGGAACGACTGCACCTCCACGGCATGACACCGTGACGCCACACCACGCCACGTAGAAGTAGAGCTGCTAAGCTCCGTCTCAAAACGTCTCACGAATGCGGCCTCCCGGCTAGGGTTTGGAACGATGGCACCTCCACTGCATGATGCCTCCATGGCACACTACACCATGCGCCCGTTATACCCTAGTTTTCGCAGGGCTGTTTGTCCATGGACCGCCATACTTCCCTCTACTCTACACTCCCTGTGCCTTTCACTAGCCGGTGCCCCTACTGACTGCTGCTGGTCTCCGCTACCCTATCTTCCGGTCCGCAAGTCCGCTGCGCTGAGAGGAGCTCCAACTGCGCCGCACGCGCCATTCGCGATGCGTCCCCGCCTCGTGACAAACTATCCTTCTAGCCACCAACACGGATGGCTGCTACCAGCCTAAAGCGGCGCCAGAGTAATTCAAGCGTGATTCGATATCCTCCCCTGCAGATCCAAGGTAAATTTTGCCGCCGATCTACCGCGATCCTGCCGCGCCGAATTCCCGTGCTACGATCCAAATCCGCGCCTACTTTCCCCTGCCATGCTCCTTCACGATAGACGTCCTCAAAACCCTAATAAACCTGTACGCGTGAGAGGCACTGCGGCTGTGAACGTTGCGACCCGTCACAACCGATACTTAGCAGCAGCGAAACGGTCGCGAAACAGCGACGGCTTCGCAGCTGACAAGCAACCATGTAAGACGCGCTCCACTCGCTTAAAACAGCACTCGGCGCACTCACCCGTAAGTTAGTAATCACGTTGAGGCCCCGAAACTTAGCAAACATCAACGCAGCCCTAAAGAAGCACTTCGCAAACGCTAGCTCGCACTGACCCAGAAGTTGGTGAGGACGTTGCGGCCCTGCACGTCCTCGGCGCGAAGCCTCATCTTGCGGAACGACTGCTCGTCGTCCACCTGCAGGTCCGCCAGCGACACCTCGAACACGCGCCCCTTCAGCCCGTCCGAGGCGATCTGCGGATTAACGAAGGGCAAAAGGATGAGAGAGAGGGCAGGTTAAAGGGCCTTCTTACGAGTTCACCTAAAACGTCGGCCAGCAAAACCTCGATGAATTGACCCTAAAGCCTTATCGCAGCGAACTGCGAGGAGAAAGACCCAGTAAGACGGCAACAATGTGAGCTGAGAAACTAAGAGACGCGTGACTACACTCCGAGAAAGATCGCCTACAGTTCAAGCACGCCATTCTTGAAAAATTCGAAACGTCCCAGGAGCGAAGATAAAGCTCGCGAAAGAGAGGCTTAGCGAAGGAAAGAGGTGGCACAGTGTGACCGACGCAGCGAGAGGTGAGGTAGCCCCCAGCTCGACTGAAGCTGATGGACGCGGCGCCAGAAACCCTAATTGAATGGCTCCTAGGCAAGACCAAGACTACGTCGCGTCCAAGGAGCATACGACGTTTCCAGGCGCGAGGAGCAGCTGGGCAAACAAGAGGCTGGCACGGAACCATAACGAATGTGCAACATGCGAGCGCGCACTGCAAAACGCCGCAACAGTTTGCTCACCTTGGTACCCTGCGTGCGCGTGACGAGGGTCTGGCCGACGTTCCTGGTGGCGAACATGGAGGGCGCCTTCACGGAATACCAGTCCTTCTTCGCGAAGGGATCCTGGCTGCGCGCACGCAATCACGGGAGTGGGGTAAACTGTAACGCATGATTGGATGAACCTGGGGCGGAGCGATAAGGAAAGGCGCACACGATAATGAAGGGCGCATACGACAATGAAGTTCACCGCAATAGACCAAGGATCGAGTCATGTCGTGGCAAATACTTACGCCTTTTTCTTGCCTCCCTTCTTTCCCTTGGAAATACGCTTGTTCTTGCTGCACGGAGGTGAGACGGAACAGACGCGGGAAACAAGCCGGCGGGGAGACGTTAGCGCCGCATGGACGGGAATAGAAACCAGAATCATGCAGCCACAGGCCTTCCGGGTAAAAGCATGCGCATTCGGTTCGAGGGCATCCCGGGCGGTGAATGAGGGACATGCCGCGAGAGGGGGGGGCGAGAATGATTCGAAAGCGAGTCATGTTGTGAGCGAATCGAATGGAACGGGGACGACTAAGAGCAAAAGGCGGCTGCTGCGGGCAGAGAGCCGTTGGCGACGTATGTATGGGAAGGAGAGTGAGAGAGCGGTAGAGATTGAGGGCCGCGAGAGAGGGCCAGCTGAAATGATGGCTGGCAGGAGAAGGGGAGGCCGTAGGATGCAGGGGGGGCTGGAAGACTTGGAAGCTCAGACGGGGAGGGGAAGGGGCGGCTTGGACAATCGTGCTGAGCGAACGCCTAGTACAGCAATCCTAGGGAAGCGCGTTGCGGGGCCTTGGAATCTAGACTGCCGACAACAAGTATTTCTCATTCTAGGCACTATCAGAAAGTGCGTCGATACCAGCGACGAGTGACTTAGGTTAGGAGTAACCTACCCGACAGCCATGGCGCCTGGTCAAAGACGAGTTTAGCGCCTGCTAAGAAACGCCAGAAGAGAAAGAGGGTAGAGGAGAGATCGCGAGAAAAGGTGGAGGTGAGGGAAGGGAGAGACGGGAGGGACGGAGGGAGGAGTGGGGGAAGAGGGAGAAGCCGTGGGTACAAAGGTGGTTTCCACCCGCAGGTTCGTCAGAAGCACTTCGGTATACGACAACCCAATAATCGAAAGATTTCCAAGCACATCTATCATACATGTTTACCATTATCAGTTACAAACAAACCCTCTCATTCTAACACAAATGATACCACGACGGCAAGTTCGTCAATTTATTCGCACTTAGATAAATGAGAATTTTGGTCAAGAGTGCGTGCATCTAAAACTGGTAAAGCCATTGATTTGGAGATTTTAACAAGATATCGGACGAATATTCCCGAATAAAAGCATGACGCATAAAGTGAAGAGATGAATTAGGAAAGAGTAATAACCAAGACAAGATGATTCAATGAAAATCAAGTAGGACAACAATATACTCGGCTAAGAGTGTATGAGCAAAGCTTTGGTAGTAATGAAGATTACTGGAGGAGGTACCCTACACTGCATTGTCCCTTCGAGCGGGTCCTGTCAAGCTCGCGACAAATTCCAGCATGGCGCATTTGAAATT